GCGCAGCAACATCACTAACAAGTGGTCAGACAGGGCAAGACTCTCAAAGAGATTATTTCCCAATCTGTGTGTTTACAGACTGACTTTCTTGTTGAACTTTGACCAGCTGTGTTTAAAGCAGTGCTGCCAAGGGATTATTACCAACAATATGGTATCATATCTCATATTTATCATCTGATCTGTTTTTTAAAATCTATCACCAGACAACAATGTTCGTATTTTTTTTTGTCCAATGCCAGAATTATTTGCATTTTGTACCCCCAGTTTGAATACCACGGTGGTACATATGGACAGCTGAACAAGTGCATTTGTTACATTACTTATGGTCAAAAACCAGCGAATCGAAAACTTTTGCTAACACAGACAAACATCAAGCAAGCCCAACAACACAAGACACAGAAAGCCAGCTCGTATTACTGAGTAGTCCAACAGCAAGAAGGCAGCACGCCGTCTGTCTGTGGCCTTTTATTTCACCAAGCTCTCACCAACGACTTAAACCCAGTCCAGATTTACCCTCATCCGGTGACTTCTCTCTCCTTTTCTCTACTTAGCTTACTCCGTTGTCCTGTTCAGTCTCTTTGTGTCTGCCATTAGCTATGTCCACAGAAGCTGAGGAACCCAGTTACGTTACCCGCTGGCCCGGCTGTGGCGCTCTCTGTCAGCATTTCCTCCGTCCCAGGCCTGAAAACGTCCTCCTCCCAGTGGTCCAAAGCTCCAGTACTACAGTGTAAACACCAGCTCTCCCCCTGGTGCTCTGAGAACCAAGTCCCAGGCGTCCAGAGCAGTAGAGCAAAGCTAACAGCAGCTACATTTCACAGCAATTATTTTACTGTCCGTCAGGAAACTCTGTAAATAACAGAGAGTTGACGTGGAGCAGCCGGAGGATGTAAAGCATTAAGTACTTTTCCCGACCTGGAGCCAAAAGTTAAACAGTGCAAGAACAGAGTGGGAATGACAGAGGCAATGTTCACCCTATGACAACTCAGTGTAGCATCAGAATGATTCTGAAGTTGCTATTTTAAGGTAGAAAAGTGTCACAATGGGGCTTTAATGCAGAAGAGTAACAAACACAAACATTGATGTCTTCTTCGGTGTGCACGCTCAATTGTTGCCAGGTAAGAGTCAGACACATAATGTGAACAAATCAGATCGGAAAGCGGATTAGAACAAAGCCAAGAGGCATTACACAGACTTATTGGATTGGATTGGTATTGGAAAAAAAA